GGACTGTGCACCCTCTTGGAGGGGTCCCAGCAATGTCTGGAGTATCTGGGCGCCACTGAGATGAGGGATGATGGAGGGCAGTCACCCCAGATGGTGTCAGCCCTAGAAGATTATGGGTTGTGTCACCTGAAAGGACCTTTCTGCCATCCCAGACCCAGTGTCCTGCCCCTGAAGTGAGAGTGGATGTTCTTAGATCTGGTCCCCTCCACCTACAATACCCTGCCCCAGGGAGGCAAGAGGGGTGTGTGGTTGGCATGTCACCATGGGTGCAGGACCTGGGCAGCGGTCACAGGATGCACGTTCGTTCCATTCATTAATTTTGTTTAAGGTCAAGAGGACATGCCTGGAGCCCCCAGCGCCCAGCCCTCTCCCTGGGTCGGCCTCTGTTAGGCTTCTCTCCAGGGAGCCACCTGGTGTAGAGCTGGCCTCTTACTCCACAGATGCCAGCTGCTCTGTTCTTGCTCTCCTCACTAAACCATGACCTTGGCCCTCCCTGTCGGTCACTCTGTATTGACAGTGCCCTGTGATGCGGATACATCATAACATCAAGAAGCCCAGGCAGTGGGTGTTGAAGATGTTCTGGGTTCTTGCTTTCTGAGCAAGGCTGTGCTGAGTGATGGTGACACCAAGGACCCTGGAGTGACTTACATCACTGTTCTACCTTTGGCAGTGGCTGAGGGGAGGGGAGGGCTTCCCAGGTGGCGCTAATGGTAAAGAATCTTCCTGCAATGCAGAAGACATGGGTTTGACCCGTGAGTTGGAAAGATCCCCTGAAGGAAGGCAAAGCAACCCATCCCAGTATTATTGCCTGGAGAATCCCATGGGCAGAGGAGCCTGGCAGACTGCCATCCACAGGGTCACACAAGTAGAATACAACTAAAGCAACTTAACAAGGATGCACACACATGGGGAGGGGACTTTCAGCATTTGCTGGGTGAGGAGGGTTCGTTCCCCAAGGCTAGAAGGAGGTGGCCCCTAAACCCTGGGCCTGGCTGGGCTGGTCGCCTGCTGGGAGTGACCTCTGCCAAGCCAAAGAGGCCATCCCAGTGGCTCCACAGTGGAAGTTCAGACAGGGAATTCCCTTCTTTCCACCTCCCCCACCCCACGCAGCCTCAGAAGCTGCTGCACAAGCTGCTGGGTTTTGCCAACACCCTGAGCAGTGTTTTGCACCTTCCCACTCACTGCGGGCTGCTTGCTGAGCTGTGAAGCTTAGGAGTCCAGAGGCTGGCTCTTTACTAAACGCAATGGGATCAGTTAGGGGGAGACAGGCGGCATAAAACCAGCTATGGCTCCTCAGAGAAAGAGTGCACAGAACAACAGCCTTGAAGGGGGCAGCAGAGGAGTTATCTTGTGTGAGGACCCTGGGCTGTGGGGGGCCAGGGGCCGGGCCAGGCCATGTGCTTCCCATTGGCACCTTGTACCTGTTTGTGGGCAGGTCAGGGAGAGCCTCCCCTCCCAGATAGACTTGTGTCCTGTTCCACTTTCTTGTTATTGTTTAACCATTTCACTCTCTGTCCCTCACAAAATTGCAAATGCTGGAGGGCAGAGACCAGGTCCAAAGTCCTCGGGCAGTGCCTCAGAGCACCCACTCCACCCTCCTCTCGCCCCAGGCTGCAGCCCTAGTCCTGGGTAACCCAGTGTGAATTCTGCTTCTGGCCCTGAGCCTGGCGCTGTCATTGTCTCTCTGTTAGTGATGAGAACGCTGAGGCCAACATGCCCCTCTGGGACCACCTGAGGTCAAAGCTAACCAGTGGACAGGTCAGGGGTCCTGCAGCTTCCTGGTGGTCCTGCCCGACTCAGGAGTTTTCAGCTCAGGGATGCAGACCCCAGAGGAGGAGTGGGGCAAGGAATCATCTCAACATGTCACTGAGAAGACCATCCGCCCCCAAGCAGGTTGCCCGGTGTGGTTGGAGCTTGCCCAGTGGTCATTCAGGCTGTGGCAGAGTGTGTCTGGCCACCATCTCAGAAAAGACAGGCTCTGAGGTGGAGAGGGGCAGCTGCCCTGCACCAGGACCCGGGCCCTCCAGCTCTGCAGACTGTGTCCTCCTGGCTCCCTGGGGCGGGGATCTGGTCCCTGTTCTCCACAACCTACCTTCTGAAGCGAGAGAGGCAGGAGGCCAGGGCCATAGTTGTAGGAGTGTTTGGAGGGTATGGTGGGACCGGAATTTCTCCTGGGACTGAGATAATTTTTTTTCCACCACTTAACTTTTATAGCAGAATTTTCCAGCTGTGCCTAAAATACTTTTTTTTTTTTTAAATTCCAACAGTATATCATGATAGTTAAAATTTCATAATTTCTCCTAGCAGACTTGTAGCTTTTATTTCTGTGTTCTAATCTTTGCTTGATCTTGATTGTGTGTGTATGTGTGTGTGTGTGTGTGTGTGTGTGTGAGATCTCTGTGAGTCAGGGTACACGTTCCAGGAACTCATTTGGATTGTCTTAAGGGGAATAAAGGAATATTTATTTTGCACAAGAAGGACTTAGATTCTGGGAAGAATGACTACAGGCAGAGCTGGATCCAGGAGCTCAGTGTCCCCAGGGTGCTTTCCTTTCCCCTGTTGTGGGGGTTTCACTGTTAGTCAGGTCCTTCCCTCACAGGTGAGAAAATAGCACCAAGGGCCACAAAACCAGTTTCCTACTCAGCAGCCTCCCACTCTCAACAAGAGATGAGATCTCTTTCCTGAACATCAGGTCTGGGGCTGATCTTCAGAGGACAAGCATGATTGGTGCAGAGGTGAGCACGCACCCTGCATTTGTCCAAAGAGGATGCACCTGGGCCTTACGAAATGTGCCCATTGGTCAGGAATCCAGAGGGGTGGGGGGTTCCTGGGCAGCAGAAGGAGGTCCCAGGAAGGGGCAGTGGATGCAACAGGCCCTGAGTGCCCACCCCCAGCTCTGCAGCCTGTCACCATCTTCCCCCACCACTTGGACGCCGCCTCCACCATCTACCATGTTTGCCTCCTTGGGAACATTTCGGGTCTCTCTTGCCCCCGTGAATTATTTGCACCAAGCAAATCTTGTACCATCTCTGTTAGTGATCTCCTATAGTGAGTAAGGCCTCCTGCCCCTGCTGACCTACCATCCTTCCCTCCAGAACTGTCCTGGCCACTCTTACATTGTTTTATCCAGTTGAATTTTAGAGTCTGCCTCTCTGTCCCCACATGGTCTCATGTGTCATTGGGACAAACGCACAGATGAGGCTGAGGTTGAGCCCTCCACACCCGGGCATCTCTGCCTGGAAGGAAAGGCCCGGCTGCTCCTTCTTCCCCCTCTGTCTCTCCTGTGGCCGCACTTCCAGTGTTTTCTGGATGGTTTGCACAGGGCAGAGCAGACTCACTCCTCTTTGTTTGTAGCTGGGAGTGGGCTGCTTCCCTGTTCCCAGAAGTGGGGTGTAGAGTGCAGAACTGGGTGAAGCCTGAGCCCCCATCCGTGCTGGGAACCCTGGCAAAATGAGGCAGACCCCTGGCACCCCCACAGTCCAGGCTGGAGGGGCAGGGGAAACCTAGGGAAGGCACCCACTCTGGAAGCCCCTGCTGGCCAAGCCTCATCCTCAAACCTCTATTGGGGGGCTGCAGTGCTGGGGCCCTCACCCCACCCTGGAATGTCAGGGTCAGGGCCTGGACTTCTTCCAACTCAGGGATCTGCTGGGGCCTCAGGCCAGACCCCACAACCCACCAGCCTGGGCCCTGGTCCACCGCTCGCAGCCCCCATATGTGGCTGTTTCACTGTCTGTGCTCAGCGAGGTGTGGTATTTCAAATGTTTTGACATTTAAAATCTGTGTTGGGTACATTCATTTTGTTTAAATTATACCCGGCTGTGGTGACTCATGGGAATTGATTTGTCTCCTGGGCCTGCACCCCTACCCAGACCATGGCCCAGAGCTGCCCCTCGGCTTCACCAGCCCCTCGTTGTCCAAGTCTCCAGACCTGTCCCCCAGGCTCGGTGGGGCTGAGTGCTCAAAAGACAGAGCCAAATGCGATTTTACACCAGAGGGCATTACTCCTGACTTCCCTTATGGCTCAGAAGGTAAAGAATCTGCCTGCAATGCAAGAGACCCGAGTTTGATTCCTGGATTGGGAAGATCCTCTGGAGAAGGAAATGTATTTCAGTATTCTGAAATTCACTCCAGTATTCTTGCCTGGAGAATCCCATGGACAGAGGAGCCTGGCAGGCTACAGTCCATGGGATCGCCAAGAATTGGACATGACTGAGCAACTAAACTACCACCACCACTGAGAGGTGATGGCGGATTCAGGAATGTGGGAGACCTGTTCCCCATCACTGGTCAGGGTCACATACATCCACTGGAGGTTTGTGTCCCTATTGGGAACAACAGTACTTTCTCAGAGAGGCCACAGCCTCTCGGGCTGAGCAGGTACCTGCGAAGGCAGGTCTCAGCCTAATATCACTGAAGGACCAGGCTCTGGCTCAAGTTCCCATCTGAGCCGGTGATTTTAGCAAGACCCTCAGCACCTGGAGACTCAGTCTCCCCAGGGGCCAAGAGACGCGGAAGATGGAGGTGCCAATAGGAAGTGCTCTTCAATGCGCTGAGAGGTAGTGGGGGACGGGGCCGTGGGGAGGGTCCTTGCTTTGTGTCCTAATGTGAGCTGTCCATGTGCAGGATGAGGGACACTGGGTGGGCCGTGCTGAAGAGAGGTCAGGTGGGGCCGTATCCTTGTCCAGACCTGGAAATGCAGAGCCTAGACCCTCACCACAGCCAGGATGCCCCAGGCTGGGCCCTGTGCTGGGGACTCCAAAGGTGTCAGAGAGTCCGCGAACCCTCAAGCCATCAGACAGAGCTGGCCTGGAGATGGGCAGACCAAGCGACTCCCACATCCAGCCACTGAACCTGGGCCAATGGGCAGGCGAGCACCAGGGCACATCTCCGCTTGGGGCTCAGGGACACCCTCCTCTGTCTCTCTGAGGGCCAGCAGACAAGTGGGCCCCAGGGAGCATCCCCACCCAGGTCTCAGAGCCACCCTCCTCCCTCTCTCACAGATCAACACCTTCATGTCCTTCGTGTTCCCCATGGTTCTCATCTCCATCCTGAACACCATCATCGCCAACAAGCTGACCGTAATGGTCCGCCAAGCCGCTGAGCCGGGCCAGGTGTGCACCGTCGGGGACCAGCACAGCTCCTTCAACATGTCCATCGAGCCCGGCCGGGTCCAGGCCCTGCGCCACGGAGTCCGGGTCTTACGTACGTAACTTCTGGGCCCTGGGGTGGGTGTGAGGGCGAGCTCGGGAGAACCGAGAGAGCTGGGGAACCGAGCATGTCAGGCTGAGGCTTGGAGTGCCAATTCCTCTGGGGATCGGGCTGCTCTTCATTTACTCACTCGTCCACCCACTCACTGATTAGCAAGCCTCCGGCATGGCTCTAAATCAGTTAGTTTGCTCACAAAGCCGGGGCTGCAGAGTTGGGGTCCCCATGCATGCCAGGCAGTCGAGTGCCAGCTAGAAAGGCCAGAGGTGCCGTCCCCTCTCATAGGTTCTAACAGGGCATCCTGAAGTCCTGGAGGGTCACGTGGAGTGGACCCTCTGTTTCTGTGGGTTGTGAGGGTCCAGCCTCCATCCATCTGTTCCCTGGCCTGGTCTGGGCCTGCAGGTGGCATCATGAGGAAGGGTCCTCAAAACCACCTGCCCCTTCCCACTCTCCTGAGGCAGCCCCGGCCCACTCAGCCCCCCAGAGCACCCACCCCCACCTTCTGCCAGCCCCAGCAACCACCCTCCCATCTCCCGCTATGCCCCAGGCTGCTGGCCCCTCACCTTCTGCAGCCACTGGTCTTAAGAGGAAAAGGTCCCAGCAACTCTACCCAATAGGAACATGATGCCTGCAGGCCCTACATGAGATATTAAATGGTCCAATAACCATGTTTTTAAACAGTAAAAAGAAACAGGTAAAATTCATTTTGTTTGTTTATTACTCCAATATTTCCCACATATGATCTTCTCTGCCTCCATCTGTGTCCTGTAACTGATGGGAGAGTCCCTTCGGGCGTGTTTAGCCCTTGGCCTGACTCGGCTCCCTGCAACCTGGTGTCAGGTGACCAGCAGGCAGTGTCCAGCAGGCAAGACCACAGCATCTGTATCTGCTGTGTGTGGGCAGGCTTTCTGGAACTCCTGGTGCCTCCAACCCCTGTTTTCTGCTGCTTCCAGCAGGCAGCTTCCTTGACAAGGCCTCCCCACCCCAGGCCTGCGGTCTCCAGAGACCCCCCAGTGAGGGTCTCCAGGGCCTATGGGGTCAGGACAGCAGCCAGGGTGTGGGCCCCAAACCCAAGACCCCCACAGATGCCTCTACAACCCCAAGACAATGACACTATCTCAGGGACCACGCTTTTCTCTTGCCCAAGACAGCACAGTCAGCCCCAAGTTTTCCCAAGCAGTTGACTTTTTATTGCTCTCTTTTTCATTCTTGTAAAATATACCCAGCATAAAACTTACCATTTTGACCATTTTTAAGTGCACAGTCTGGCAGCTGTATAGACACTCATATCACTATGGAACCATCACCACCATCCCTTCCTGCCTTGTAAAACTGCAACTCTTCCCATTAGTAGCAAGCCCTCACCACTCCTCCATCCCCTGACAACCACCTTCTACTTTCAGTCTCTATGAATCTGACTCCTCTAGGGAACTCATATAAGCGGAATCATACAGTATTTGTGGGTTTTGTGACTGGTTGGTTTATTCATGTGATGTAATAGCCTCAGGGTTCATCCACCTTGTAGCCTGTGTCAAAATTTCCTTCCTTTTTAAAGCTGAATAATATTCCACTGGATGCAAAGGCCACATGTTTATCCATCCTCCACTGATTTCAGCTCCTGTGAATAGTGCTATAAGGTGCTGGTATCTGAGTTCCTGCTTTCAGTTCTTTGGATATATATGTGTGTGTATATACCCTGGAATAGAATTGCTGAATCACATGGTCATATCTGAGCTGGAAAGATCCACTGGAGAAGGGATATTCTACCCACTCCAGTATTCTTGGGCTTCCCTTGTGGCTCAGCTGGTAAAGAATCCATCTGCAATGCTGGAGACCTGGGTTTGATCCCCGGGTTGGGAAGATCACCTGGAGAAGGGAACAGCTACCCACTCCAGTATTCTGGCCTGGAGAATTCCATGGACTGTATAGTCCATCAGTTTGCAAAGAGTCGGACACAACTGAGCTACTTTCACTTTCACAGTACTTTCACTGGGTCATTGCATGTTTAAGTTTTTGAATTAGAAAATATTGTTAAACAGCCATACTATTTTCTAAAGTGGCTGCACCATTTTACATTCCCACCAACAGTGCACAAAAGTTCCAGTTTCTCCATATCCTCCCCCAAATTACTATGTTCTGGTGTTTTACTATTTTTTGTAATAGTCATCCTATTGGATATGAGGTGGTATCTTATTGTAGTTTTGATTTGCTTTTCCTGGGTGATCAGTGGTGTTGAGCATCTTTTCATGTGCTTATTTCATATTTGCATCTCTTCTTTGGAGAAATGTCTATTCAAGTCCTCTGCCCACTTGTGAACTGGATTGCTTGAGTTTTGTTGTTGAGTTTCCCATATATCCAGGATATTAATCCCTTATCAGGTGTGAAGCAAACATTTCTCCCATCTGTAGGTTGTCTTTTCACTCTGTCAATTGTATCCTCTAATACACAGTTTTTAAATTTTTATCCAAATTATTTATTTTTTCCCTTTGTTGTCTTTGGTGCCATCACCAAGAAATGATTTTCAAGTCCATTGTTGTGAAAATTTTGTTCTATATTTTCTTCTAGGAATTTTATACTCATAGCTCTTATCTTTAGATCTCTGATACACTGTGAATTAATTTTTGTGGATGGTGTGAGATTAGGGTCCAGCTTCATTTTTTACATGTGGGGATCCAGTTTTCCCAGAGCATTTATTGAAAAGAGTCCTTCCCACCTTGATCTTGGTACCTAATAGAAAATCATTTGAGTGTTTCTGGGAGGGCTTATTTCTGGACCCTCCATTCTGACCCATGGGTCTATACGTCTGTCCTTATACCCGTACCACTCCATTAGGATGACTGTAGCTTTGTCGGGGGGAATTGAAGTCAGGAAGGACAAGTCCTCCTGCATTGTTCTTTCTCAAGACTGCTTTGGCTATTCAGCATCCATTGAAATTCCCAATGAGTTTTTCTACTTCTACAAAAAATGTCATCAGGACTTACGGAGAAATTGCACTGAATCTGTAGATCTGTTGGGTAGCACAGTCATCTTATCAGTATTAGGTCTTTCAATCCGTGGGCACAGGACCTCTCCCTCCAGTTCTCTGAGGTCAGTCTCTCCATGTCTCAGGGGCCGTGGTCATCGCCTTCGTGGTCTGCTGGCTGCCCTACCACGTGCGACGCCTCATGTTCTGCTACATTTCGGACAAACAGTGGACCCCGTGAGTACAGGAGGCAGGGGCCGAGGGGGTGAGGCTCAGGACGGGGGCGTGCTCCCCAAAACAGGTGGGGGTGGGGCACTGAGAGGGGCAGCTCAGGGTAGGGGTGAGAGTCAGTGTCCCCCAGCAGGCTGTGATGGGGCGGGGGTGACAGAAGGCCATGGAGGGACAGACACCCCTGGAAGGTGCTTCAGAAAAGGAAAGCAGGTCTTAAGATGGTCAGCAGGTTTGGGGGAGTCTGGAGAGCGAAAGGAACCGTCAGGGCCTCTGGACCACCCCCACCCCCAGTCTGGAGGAGTCATCCACCAGGAGGACCCGGGGCTCCAAGAACATCATGCCCACGCTGTGACATTCAGGCACTGGCCTTCCCACGATGGCAGTCTGAACCCTGCTGGGTGAGCTCCTCTGCACAGCGGGCTCCAGGTCAAGGGTCATGGGCTCTTCCAAGTGACAGGGAGCCTCTGGGGAGGGCACAGCTAGGCTGAATGAGGAGAAGGTGCAGGGCGTGGAGCATAGCCCCAAACACAGGGTTTCTGAGACTCAGGGCTGCCAGGTGAGGGAGTGAGGTCCCTGTGCATGGAGGCAAGCAAGTCAAGGTGAGGTGCACAACCATCTGAGCTGTGTGGAGGGGCTTCTACCCTGGCTGTTCGTTGAGGCCAAGCCCCAGCTGAGCCTGGCAGCCCTGGGGAGACTGGGATCTTGCAGAGGAAGGGCACACCCCTGGGGCAGCAGGGAAAGGTGGAGACTGTGGCCCACGTAAGCTGCACACCCTGCCTTGGGAGGGCGGCCGCAGCTCAGCTCAGCAGCTCAGCTGACCAGTGCTGGGCAGGAGTGTATACAGGACAACCTCTCAAGAGAAACCAGAGTCCTGGAGGTTATTATGAAATACCCCCACATTGGCCAGGGCCACCCTGTGTGTCTGGGTCCACCAACCTGAGCGTCCTCTCCCCCCAGGTTCCTCTATGACTTCTACCACTACTTCTACATGCTGACCAACGCCCTCTTCTACGTCAGCTCCACCATCAACCCTATCCTCTACAACCTTGTCTCCGCCAACTTTCGCCAGATCTTCCTGTCCACCCTGGTCTGTCTCTGTCCCCTGGCGGGGCGCAGGAAGAGGGGGCCAGCCTTCTCGAGGAAGGCCAACAGCGTGTCCAGCAACCACACCTTCTCCAGCAACGTCACTCGGGAGACATTGTATTAGTGCCGGGCAGGCTGGGAGGGAGCTGGGAGGGGACCAGGATGGGGTCACTCAGCCTCCACCCCCATCCACCCAGCACCTGCGAGCTGGAGAGAGTCATTCCAGGGCCTGCTCCCTGGCATCCAAGGTCCAGGACCCGGCACCCATATCCCAGAGGCCCCATTTCTTTTCAGCTTCTCCTCTCTCCCCACCACCCCCCTCCTCTCCTCTTTGAAAGCAAGAGAGATTGCTCTCCTCCCAGATCCAAAAATGGCCTTTAATGAGGAGAAATTCATGTTGGGTGATAGGCAGTCTTCTTTGTTCTCAAACTAATGGATGTTTAGGGAGAAAAAAAATGAAAGGGGCAGATCAAGGCAGGCCATTGGGCAGCCCAGTTGACATTGGAGGGCAATGACCCCAAGAGCTGGCGCTGAGAAGAGCCCAGCCGGCAGGACCACCACTAGCCTGGTGCTGCCGGGGGCCTCTGTCACACCTCCAGTCAGCTCAAGACCAAGTCAGCCCCTTGTGCAGCAGGCATTCAACACCCCCTCAAAGGTGGTGTCACAGGAAGCTTTGATGCCACCAGAGGGCTGAGGTCAGCCTGCCATTGCCCAGCCCTGGGCCTCCCCCTCCTCGCTTGTCCTCCCCTGGCCAAGGTGACAAAGCCCTGCAGGGACACCTCGGGCAGCTCGGCCTCCCAGTTCTCCATCCTGGCTCTGCGGAAGCAAGACCAGGGCCACGGGGTCCTGGTGGCCCAGGCCAGGACAGGGGCATCCCCATGCACCCTCATTTTTGCTGTCCAGCTGAGTTCCTGCAGCCTGGCTCCGAGCTGCTTCAGGGTGGACACCCAAGGTGGAGGAGGGTCGGCCGGGTCTCCAAGAGATGCCAGCCCTGGGGCCGCAGGTGAGGAGGAAGAGCCACGGGTACAGGCTGCCTGCTGGCCAGCAGCCAGGCAGAGACTGAGACTCGTCCATCATGCAGGAAGACGGGCCTGGCCCAGCTCAGATGCCCAGGATGGCAGGCGCCTCCTTGGTCTCTGGGAGCCGGTCCCAGACAGGACGGCCCAGCCCCAGGAAAGCGCCCTGAGCCAGAGGAAGGCAGCCCCGGGGGAGTTGCTCTGGACCAGCTGGACTATGAGTGGCCAAGAGACCAGAAGTGAAACATAGACCTTTTAAAGCAAGTCCTCCCCTGGGCCTGGAATACATCGGCACAGAAGGGAGACAGTCAGACTGATGGTCAAACGGGCAGACAACCACATGGGTGGCACTGACTCAGGATCTGAGAGTCACTCCTGGTCTGGTCTCAGCCTCTGTCCACAGAAACAGCAAGTTAGATGCTGCAATGTCCACGGGCATGTCAGATCTGCGCTCTGCTATGGATCAGGGGTCACGTGACCCTCCCCCAAGCTGTTCAACAAGAACCAGGCCAGGAGAGTCAGCCCACAGCTGGTCCCCGTGCCAAGCAGCCATGCCGTGACACAGTGGCCGTGGGCACAGAGGACAAGGCCAGCCCAGAACTCCCACATGGGCGCCTGTTCTGGACAGGGAGAGGGGAGCCCCCAGCCCTGCTCAGTGAGTGGACATCAGAGTTCAGCAAAGACTGAGTCTGGTCCCAGGTGCTGGCTTCAGGCGGAGGACCTGGACTCTTTCTGACAGACCCTCAGACGCTTCTGGCCTCCCTGGACCATGCGCACGCTGCAATTCCCCGAGCCCCGGTTTCCCTGTCTGAGAGGTGGGCGTGGTGACTCCACCCACTCGGCCGGAGCTGGAAGTGACGGCTCTGGAGGACCCAGCCTGGATGATGGAAGGACGGTTCCCTGAGGTAGGGGCGGAGAGGACGTGGAATGAGTGGAGACACCCGCCACCCAGACCCTCCTGGGGGCACACCTTACTGTCTGCCCACTTCACGTCAGTGGGGACCCGGGTCTGTGCCCTGTCAGACACCCTCCTGAACCACCCCAGCTGCTGGTCAGGTCACCGTGGAATGCCAGAGGCCGGCTCTGTGTGCTGTCCGTGTCCCATCTCAGGGCCCAGTGCCCATGAGCCTGGTCACCAGTGATGGCGAAACCCCATGGTGTGCACTGCGCAACCACCCTAATGTCCCGCAGCAACTGGGACACCCCGTCAATAAAGAAGTAAAGGAGCCTGTGGGCCCATGATACACCCCCACATGGGAGAGGGGCCCTGCAGGCCTGCCAGCAGCCGTTCATTCACTCATCAGACAGTGACTGTGTCAGCGACAGCCTTCTGCTGGTCCTTTTACCAAAAAAAAAAAAAAAAAAAAACATGTGTTTTGGTCCCGTTTCCCAGAGCTGGGGGGCTGGGGGCCAGGACCCCCAGCTCAGGTCCCGTCTGCCCCCAGAGCTTTCAGCAGCAGCCTGTGAGGGGCCCCTCCTGAGCACGAGGTCCCACAGGGCCTGAATGTGGAGATCTAGGTCCACATTGGCTATGCAACGACACCTGCCACCCAGTGTCCTGATATGGGGTCTGGGCACAGGCAAGGCCTACCCAAGGGGGTGCGGGGCCCTGTGACTGTTTGACCCTGGTCTCCATGGCCCCTCTAACCAGCCTGGCTCCTCCCTGGGGGCCAGCAGGAGGAGGCCGAGCCAGGGAGGGGCACTCGTCTGTCCTTGGACATAGCCAGAGCTATCCTCCAACAGAAGGGCTCCTGCAGCAGGGTGTCCCCTCCTGCCCTCTCCTCTTCCCCTGCTCTGCCTTCATCTCACAGCAGCAGCAGAGTCCCTGGGGACCCCAACCTGGTTGGGGGGGGTGCAACATGGAAAGCCTCTTTCCAGATTGCCAGCCTCTGTCTTTCACTTCTGTCTCCTCGGCCAGCAGTCTTCCCACACTCCCCTTCATTCATTCATTCGCCAACTGCCCCTCTGAGCCTGGTTTCCTCAAAGCCTCCCCATCTTAATGGACACAGGGCTGAGGTGTGAGTTTCAAGTCCTCTGTGCTTATGAGCCATCCACCCCATCAGCAGGGAAGTCTCAGGATGCCCATTCTCACTGGCAAGCTCCAATAGGTATGTTGACATTTTACAAGAATAGCCAAAGGAATAAAACTCTAACAGTAGAATTTCAGGCAGTCATGAGGAGAGAAATCTGGGGTCAGTGGCAGCAGGCCCAAACCCTCACTGCCACTGTCCCATAGGGCCAGAGCTCTGGTCAAGCCCCTCCCTGCCTCCGGCAGGTTTTCTGAGCTGCAGTCCCTGTTCCAGCACAGGGAAGGGGGAGGAATCCACTCTCCTACAGGAAGGCACCTCTGGCCCCATCGCTGTCGCTAGGCAACAGGAGGAGGGCCTGGGAGAGAATTCCATACATTTTGAAATATATTTGAAGAAAGAAAAAAGCATCCAGTGGCTGGCTGCTGGAGCACAGGGGAAACTCTTCCCCACCCCCTTGACTCCTCCCACCCTCTTCCTCCTCCCACATGCCCCCCACCACTTCCCACAATTATGATTTGAATTCCAATTTCTATCAGAACACCATGGAAACCATGTCCGGGATGAATTGATGAAGGAGAGAATGGGAGAACGGGAAGGCGGGGGGCTGGTCAGGGAAGGAGGAGAGACAGAGTGAGGGGCTGGGAAAGGACTGCACTCCACCTGGGAGGGCCCCCCACCACACATGTGCACCCCCACCATGCACATGCATGTGCTCGCACATGCGCCCAGACAGCACCAGCCTCCGCCTCCCAGGCCTCATTCATCGGCTGAGGTTGCCAGTTCTCAGCCTGCAGTCTGGCTCTGGCCAGGGGTGGGGGCCAGCACCTGGACACTGCTTTCCTGACCACCTGGGCTCCTCAGTCTCACCTCCCCTCCCCTCTTTGGAGTGAAGAGAGACACGGGGGCCCTCATTCTGCTCTCAGCACCCTCAGGGATCCCCAGCAAAGCTACAAAGAAACTTCAAGGGAGCTGCCTGCCACAGCCAAGGATGCTCTGGGTGGGGGTGGGGATGGGGGTGGGGGTAGGAGTGTGCGGGCAGCTGCATTGGGTCCAGCTGGGCCCTGACTCTAGATGGTCCCCCACCCTACCTCCCTTCACTCCTCAAGGAACGTGAGCTCATCTCTCTGGGAAGAGAAGTGGACCCTGGATGGAGTAGGAGAGAGGTCTGCAGAGGGTATCTGAACCTGGTCCCCAACAGGAGCCCTCCCCACTCCATCTAGCTTGCTGTGTATACATTAACTTTCAAGATGCAAAACCTTTATCTTTTACTATAAAAGCGATTCACTCTTTCGTGAAAAATTGAAATAATATGAAAAAATACAAAGTATAGAGTGAAGCCTCAGCTTGGTCCCACCTGGAGGTGACCACAGCTGGCAGATGGGTAAGAACACCGCCCAGGGCACCACCATGTGCAACCACACAAACACATTGGTGCTTGAAGAGAACGCACGCCACCACGCACATGACACACACACATGCACTTACATACACACATGCCAACATATGCATGCCCTCACATATACACATACATGCACACATGCACATACATGCTGTGCTCATATGCATTTACTCATATACACACATACCTGCACACCACACATCTACATGTGTACACATATATACACATGTGCATATATACACTTATGCCAACATATACGCATGCACACTCTCATACACACATATACACACATACATAGACATGCACATACATACTGTGCACACATGGAGGTACTCATGCACACATAGTTGCACATGCATGCACACAGGTGCATGCTCACATACATATATGCATGTGCATACACATATGCATGCAAGTGTACACTCATGCACACCCTCATACATACATATGCACATACATGCACACATCCTTACACATGCAAACTTGCACATAAATGCACATATACACATGTGCGTGTGTGCATGCATGCACTCAAGTGCATGCACATGCTCATACACATGTGCACACACATGCGTGTGCGTGCATACACATGCACATACATGCGCACATGACCGCAGCCATGTCAGTGCACATAGCACTCCCTCTTTCTTTTCTATTTAATCTATTTAAAACATTTTTT